ACATCTGAAATTGTGTTATATGTACCTGTCCAACAAAGCCAATCTTTTCTTTCAGCCATCTGATGTCCAACTCTTTTAGTGGGATACCATCAATATATATCTGCAGTTTAAAAATGCAGCTCAAAAGGCAAACAACATCTAGTGCAGATTCTCTGCAGTTTTTCATTGTAAAATCCTATGCATTCATAATTCTAGATGCATCCCTCTAATCAATAATTTGTAATAAGGAAAGGACTCACAAGAAAGATTGGCTCTACAGGCTTACCTGACCCTTAATTGGCTCATAAAGACGTAGCATGAGATTCACTAGTGTGCTTTTTCCACTACCACTTAAACCAACCTTACCAGACAATACTAAGTAGTCAATCCATCCATCTTTTTACAAAGGCCAGATGAAGATATATCATGACATACTTACAATAGCAACCACTTCCTTTGCTTGCATAGAAAGGTTTAGATGATTGAGAATGGGTACCTGATGGCATATCAGAAAATCAAAGACCAATAAGTTCTTTCTAAAGCTGCACCTTAAGTGTTGTTACGTGCATCACTAAAATAATTACATTGTAGCATACAAACTTAGAGGGAACACGATAGGATATAAGACATACTGTTGTTCGTGAGGGATAGTGAAAAGATACATTCACAAATTGTATATTGCCCATTAGGCTCTGCAGTCTCACTCCTGTATTACAGAGGGAAGGAGAAAAAAAAAAAAAAGATATCGTAGTAAAAATAGCGCTTTCAATAATTAGCCACATGAAAAATAAAGATCTCTTTCTATATATATTCTATATCAATAACAAAAATGGGTAAATTAGAATCCAGAGGAACATAAACAGTCAGAAAGCCAAATACATCAGCATTCTCTTTTCATGCCTAGAATTTATTTTTATTCTTTCATGAACAAAATAGAAGATTGTTGTAGATTTTCTTCAAAGAATGTATATTCTGCACATGGTAGGAGAAAAAAGAACTGTGAATAATACTGAATTCCTAGTTCTAACAGAGTATCATAAAATAATCTAAAGAATATCTTACAAGACCTCACTTGCGAAGAACCATACAAAGGGCTTGCCTTCTAAAGAGAACAGATTACTGGGCATAAGGTCCATTAACTGCAAGACTTTTTCACTTGCTCCAATGGACTGCAAAAGTGATGATAAATTGTCTACCACCCTCCAAGTTGCATAAATCAACCACTCACAGTAAAGCACATACTTAGTAAGCTGCTCAGGTGATACCTGACTGGACATAATGGACATACCTCCTAACACCACTGCAATAACCTACACAAAACATGACTTGAAATAAAGCTAGAATGGAAATATAGAATATCATTCACAACAAACATCAATACATTCCAAGGCAAAGCTAAATCATTCTGCAGAATTCAGCCAGGGAAGATAATTAATGAAGAGAAGACACCTAGAACTGCTCTCTGAGAGAGCTGATCATGGTCTGATGCATTTTTAGGATAGCACTATCACAGCCTCATGGCCAGCGTGTGTGAAGAAGTTTGCCATTCTATCAAAATAGAATATGACACTTTTCCTTTTTTATGAACTTGATAGAGGTGGTACAATAATGAAAGTGCATGTTGCCCTTTGAAAGCTCTTAACTGTTCATTTTTTTATGATAATATAAACTTCAAAAAGCTGGCATTCACGAGCTAAGTACTTAAAATGATCTGAACCTGTGTCAAACGGTAGAGAGTGTGAAAACTCATATTCCAAAATCCATATGCCACACTCTCTCGAATGCTTACAAAAGCCAATTTGTCCAGCCATTTCTTGTACCTAACACCATATTGATCAACAAATTAAAATTTGAAATTATAAGCACAGTGTCAGAAACTTATCCTTAATGGAGGTCTCTATTAAAGAGGACAGAAAGCTCATAAATAGGATAATGGAAAGAAAGTTACCTTCTAAGTTCTTCTTCTTCAGCTCCATATACTTGGACAGTTCTAATCATAGAAAGTGTTTCCTGTACAGTCTAAATTTAAGGGAAAAAAGTTAATAAAATTGAGATTTTATACAGCCAGTAAACGGACCAATCTGAACCAGTTTTAAGCTTTTACATTGTTAGCAGAGGCATTGAACTCTTGGGTTAACTTTGCAGCTTTCTTCTGGTACCTGTCAAAAACTACTGATCTTTATAAAACTCTCCATTAAGTTTAGTATATTCATAATTTAATATATCCATGATCTTATCATTAAGTAAATCAGCATTTTATGCAAGCAGCATACTGACAAATTTGAACCATTTTTATTATTTTATATTGTTGCCAAAAACACTATGCATGAAATAACTTCTCCACCTTCCAAGAGCAGGTGTTTTCTTTCCATGAAATAAGGTAGGATATATATTATGTAATACATCCATGATCTTCATCTTTCTTACATCTTAGAGTTGGACGGACTACCATCAGCACATGTAGTTAATTCATAACAACCTCATTCTCATTGTAAAACTCAGGACGTAAGATCATAGGTCCAAAACCTATTACACAAGCCACCATGATTCATATAGCAAACTTTTGGATATTGAAATTATAGAAACAGACAAACAGGACATGATCAGAAGCACTTGAATAGGAAATTATCAGATCATTCTCAAAATGACATTTATAAATGTAAGTAATATTTTCCTCAATTCAATTAACATATAAAGACCAGTCAAATAATTGTATTGAGAGGAACAAATGAATCCATACTCACTGGCCATAAACAGAAACAATTGTAGACAGGGCAAAACATATCACTAATGTTGGTGAAGTGAGGGGCCAGGATAATTTAAGCAAATTGATCAATGCACCAGTTCCCTGACACGAAAATGTTTTAAATAGAACATGTAAACAGACGGTATCACAAAATAATCATAAGGAAGGTGATTTCTTAATATAAAAGTAAAACCTGAACAATATTTCGTAAGATAAGATGAACATCATTCCCAATAACTTTAGAGAGATGTTGGCAATCTGCTCCAAGCCTACTTGTCAAACCACCAACTGTTTCCGTGTCAAAAAAGGACATGTCCTACATCAAAAGCAAGCCCGCCATGGAGTATTTCTATTAAACGAACCCAAAAGATAAACATGCTTGAATTAGAAAGAAAGGCCCATAAATATTTGAGAAAAGTGAAAATCAGTAAGTCAGGTAGATTATGGAGAAACACACACCTATTTTTCTCCATAATGATTTTCCTATTTTTTGTTAAAGCATTCTTTTTAAACTAAATGGAGCCTGAGGTACCATGATGGTAAGTATATCACTCACCTGGAAGACGAGAGCCAAGTATAATGTTTCCCTAAAACGCTTAACCTGCAAAAAGATGATGATGTTACTTATGACTCGAAAGAACATAACATTTGGTAGTATAATCAATCTATTTGACATGAAAATTAGGGCTATTTTCAAGCTGATTTTAGCCAAAACCAGTGAAACCAAGATGCTAAGAGGGAATCAAATAATAATGCAAAATCTCACCAAGACAGTATTGGCAATAGCAAAACAGCAACTTCGCAGTCCACTGAAAAGAAAGACACATTACACCAAACACAATACAATTAGGCACTTTGATTAAAGACTGCAAACTGCCAATTTTTAGTATCTTGAAACAAAATTACCTGCAGATGCCCGATGTGATACACAACATAATCAGCAAACGAGCATTCCGGTGAAACTCTGCTGTCGCACGACTGTCGGCAGAGAATATAGACGCTGCCAATATACTTGGCATAGAGATCTCTGAAACCGCGGCGACGATCAAGCCACCGAGTCCGAGATAGACAATCCATTGTTCGTCACCGATCAAAGTCCACATTCGACCAAGAGCGGCCCATAGAGTAACAGGCTTCGCTTCTTCGCTTTTTTCTTCATCGAAATCACTGAGATTCCACCAGCTACCGC